GACAGCGTCGAAGTAGGCCCCTCCCCACCCCCGCCTTTTAGTGCCCGAGCGACCCCGAGGGGGGAGACCACCCCAGCTTTAGGATTCCTGAGGATGTTAGGAAGGAGCGTCGGCACGTCGTCGGCCAACAGCCAGCTGGTGCGCGCCGTGCCCCTGCCCACTTGACGACTTCTCTCAGTCGTCGTTTTGGTTCGAAACATCTTGGCTCCATCAGTGCCCAGTGCGCCGCGCGGGTGACCCCACTCATGTCGGGCCCCTCCGGGCAGCCGGCGCGCAGACGCAGCCAGCTTCCACGTCGAGCAGTCACTGCAGGCGGCGTCCCTGGGCGAGGCCCAGCATCTCCAGGACGCGGATGCAAACTGGCGGGCGCAGCCACACACGATCGAAAGCAAAATCGTCAAGCATCGGGAGAGGCATAATGGTCATAGACAGCAACAAAGACTGATCGAGTGCTGCAAACAGGCAGCAAACAATGCGCCAGGCAAGTCGGATCCGGCGTTAACACGACTGGAACCAGATTTTGCCAGCATATTGAGAGCTCTGAGAACGGTCGCCACCCCAGCCAGATGCAGTCCTCAGAAAGTTAGCCAATTTAGTTCGCAAAGCCAGTCAACGAGCTCTCCTTACAGCGGTCAGTGCACCCCTGAGCAGATTTCGTCAATGCGTCAAGCCTCCTGAAGCCATCGGTTGCCTTCATAAGTCTGCGATTGATCAACCTCTCATGTCTCGGGAGCGTCAGGCCCCGGCAGGGGGATACATCAATTCATCAAGAGAAATAATCGATGTCAAACTGCCGAAGAGGGAGGCACTCTGGGCGCCCGCACTTTCAGATATGCCAGAACTTGACAATGCTTCCCGCGAGGCGCGCGCGGCGGCACAAGTGGACCCTCTTCTGCCGCTGGGGCCAGCCGACATAAGACGCGCAACAAAGAAGATGAAGGCCACCATTGGAATGTGAGTGAGTCGACTAACGCCAGTAGATGTGGAGAGGCAGGCAGGCTCTTGCTTGTCGGAATTGCCAGCTGCACGCTCAAGCAGAATCTTCGTTATGATGGCCAGTACGGGCTCATCTTGCACTTGGACATATGATGCCAAAACATCGGGGACACGGAGACAGAGCGAGTGGGTTACTATCCATGCTCAGCCGTATGTGGTCGCAAGCGAGGGATCCATTTGCATCCGAATGGGCGCGAGACTCGCGCCCGCATTGGGGCGCTGCGGTAGAAGGCGCTTCGGCGTTGAGAGAAGCATGCGTCAAAGTAATGGATGAAGAATTGGCTGGGCTACACGGCACGCCGATGGGTCGCATTTCGTTGGGCATCGAAGGCTTCTGCCACACCATCGCGCGGGGCAATGTGATCAGTTGTTTTTTTCGCGACTCCGATTCCCAGCGCAAATGTTATAGCTAGAGCTGCTCAGCCCCGCCGCCCCCCGCACGCCACGTCGAGCTGAGCCGCGTGCGCTGCCATTTTCCCCGACGCAGTCCGTAGTCCAAGGACTCAGGGCAGGAACGCGGCTCGCAAGTGCCATGGTCTACTACGTGCGCACCCGAATTTGCGCACTGGACCTGGATAGACGATCCCAGCCAGAGCACGAACGGACCGAGCGCAGCAACCAGGGCCCAATTCGCGCAGGTCTTGATTCATACCTGCAAGGGGGGGGGTGAGAATGCAGAAGTTGCAAATAGCTGCCACCAGCGCCGTCTTGTGCTCACGCATGAGTGATGCACGCCACGCGGCAGCAACAGTCAAAAGAGCAGGGTCCCCAATGGAAGGACGCCGCCAAGCCTCTTATATCGGCGCAGACTTATCAGGAGGGAAGCGTCGCGGCAGAGCAGTTATTACCAAGAGAACGAACAAGCCAGCAATCATGAGCAAAAGAAGTAGGAGTTTTCGCAAGAGCGTCGCGACGATATAGAACACTGACGAGAATTGAGCGCCAGGGATCATATGCGACGGGATCTTATGCCCACCGGCTTCAAGGCACCTTCGGCAAACAGTCGCAGGTATTCCGAACGAGCTCAGGTGCGGTCACATCGGCGGCGTCACGAGAAAGATGTCTGACCATGTTGTTGACCCTGCATTGTCTAAATGACGACGCAGGGGCCAAAATGCGAGCCGAATGCCGACAGTTGTGGTTCAGACTGTGGGCGTTTGAGGGGAAGCGCATACAATCGGCTATCCGCCATGCGTGGGCGGCCACAGTGGATCGTCCCAAAGCAATGGAAGCAAGTCAGAGACACCGTCATGTTAGCGGACTTCTAATTGCTGCTATTTCACACTTGCTGGAGACGGGGTGGGCGCCATCGGCGCCAGGTGTATGGGGCCGAAGGGCACTACCATCAGGCCAAAATGCCCAATGTGTTTAATAGTGGCTTCCTTCGCAGGCATTTCAAAAGTTCACGACAGTCAACGCGGCGAAGGACTTGCTTCGTGAGTTTCAATCCGGCAGAGAACGAACCTACTGGGATATAGCAAGTCAGCATTTCTGTGGGGGCGGCGCCGAGAATGGCGTGGACATGTATTCTTTTTTTTCGTGTGGCCAAACAACCCAGGGAATCCCCAGACGGTCTCGGGTTGTCCGAATTGATGGCGGCACTCGCGACTGGGGGAACATGGCCGAGATCGAGAAGGAAACAGAGAGCCCATTATGTCGGTGATACATGTTTACGATGCAAGACAGGAGCAGGAACGCGTTTTCATCGCGGATGGACATGCGCAGGATCGAGGGCGCACCCCACTACGGACGAACAACTGCCAGAAGCCCCCAGCCACCATGATGCCGCAGGGTGATTTTGGCTCCGCGGATTGACCCCGTCGGAATGGACTGCCGCGAACCCGCCGACAGCGGAGGCGCAGTAGAAGTCTGGGAATCTGCCCAACAATGGTGACATCAGAGCCTTCGGGCGAGGGGCAGCGAATAACCCAGTGAGCGTGGCAGGTGAGGCTAGCGGGGGAGAAGATGCCAGTGATCCCAGGCTCCGCAGGGTAGGTGTAGGATTGGCCCTTGTAAGGCTCCCCGACAGCGAACCCCATCTTAGGTCGGGGGATGGCCTGGAGGTTCTAGGCGCGGTACATGGGCCCGTTTGTGGCCACGAGCAAACTGCTGCTAGAGGTGAGTTTGGGTCCCGTGCTCGCTTGCCAGCTTGGCCTTGGGCACTTGATTCGTATTTGCGACAAACTAGCTGTGGTCTAGGTGTGGCGCGAGCTCAAGTACGAACGCCCTGAAGGTGGCGACGCAGACCTGTGGGAGCAACTGGGCCTTGAGTTTGTGTTGCGTGATCTCGCCGCAGTCACCATCTGTTTAGTTAACCCCCACCTTGGCGCGAGCGCAGTTTGGCCGAGACGTTTTCCAGAGTTGCTGGTTGTAGCCAATGCAGTTGCAGACCGGGTGGCAGAGATTGCAGCTGATGAGGATCTGTTATCTGTGATTGAAAGGCACCAAGTAAACTTGATCGAGCGCAACGCTTTTAGGGCCACGCTCGACGCAGTTGGATGCGAAAAGCTTGCAGATGCCAGTGCGTGAAATCGCGAGCGCAGTTAAACAAAGTGAAGCCGACCCAGCCCCCCTGCCCCCCTGGCGCAGCACAGCGGGGCATTTTTGCCACGCGGCATAGTTTAATGTATCCAGGGAGCGGCTGCAGTAGATGCTGCAACGCAGCCAGCCCGGGCGAATTGATTACGCGGCGTTCCAGACCGTGCGATGAGCTCCAAAACTTAGGAGGGGTCGTCAGGCCCCCCCCCCACACACACACACACACACGCGCGCACGCACGCGCGCACGCACGCACAAGGGGCTAGAGTTCACCTGGCCGGGGGGTGGGCCCACGAAACGCATCAGATGCAACGCCGTTCAACGTTGCAAGCGTGGTTGTGTAGTTCGCGCGGTTTCTCTTGTCGTCGCCAGTCAGTCAGCTCGGGCAAACAATGCCCCAATGTCGCGCCCAAACATAGGCAAGAGCACCGGGCTAGAACTGCGACCCACAGACGGCCCGAGGCCTCGAGCAAGGCGGAAATGTCACGGGGGGGGGGGGGGGGGGGGGGGGGGGGGGGGGGGGGGGGGGG